TTCAACACGGTATGTACCACACACAACACGTTCAACACGGTATGTACTACACACAACACGTTAACACGGTATGTACCACACACAGCACGTTCAACATGCAACATACCACACACAACACATTCAACACGGTACGTACCAAATACCATGTTCAACACGGTACGTACCACTTACAACACGTTCAACACGCAACATACCACACACAACACGTTCAACACGCATAATACCACACACAACACGTTCAACACGGTACGTACCACACACAACACGTTCAACACGGTACGTACCAAATACCATGTTTAACACGCAACATACCACACACAACACGTTCAACACGGTACGTACCACACACAACACGTTCAACACGGTACGTACCAATTACCATGTTTAACGCGCAACATACCACACACAACATGTTCAACACGGTACGTACCACACACAACACATTCAACACGGTATGTACCACACACAACACGTTCAACACGGTATGTACCACACACAACACGTTCAACACGGTATGTACTACACACAACACGTTAACACGGTATGTACCACACACAGCACGTTCAACATGCAACATACCACACACAACACATTCAACACGGTACGTACCAAATACCATGTTCCTCACGGTACATACCACACACAACACATTCAACGCGGTACATACCACACACTATGTTCAACACGAGACATACCACACACAATATGGTACATACCACACTCTATGTTCAACATAGTACATACCACTCTCTATGTTCAACATAGTACATACCACTCTCTATGTTCAACACAGTACATACCACACTCTATGTTTAACACAGTACATACCACACTCTATGTTCAACATAGTACATACCACACTCTATGTTCAACACGGTACATACCACACTCTATGTTCAACACAGTACATACCACACTCTATGTTCAACACGGTACATACCACACTCTATGTTTAACACAGTACATACCACACTCTATGTTCAACATAGTACATACCACACTCTATGTTCAACACGGTACATACCACACTCTAT